GTGATTACTTATTGCTAAAGTAACCCAGGTTTGAGCACTTTTTCTGTCATTTTTACTGAATGGATTTGAATATGAAAAGTTTGTTCACGTGAAAGAAGTTTTAGACCTGTGCAGGAATCCCATTATAACTCAATAAACTAATGCCACTTGAGAGTTTAAAACAACTTCCAAGTTTCATACTAAAGAGCACACCTTTATCATTTATGAAAAATGACTTTTAGTGATCTAATCTGTTGGCCACCCGGTTGGGTCATCTTTCTGTTTTGTTAAAAATAAAAGTAGGACTGGGCCTGTAGCTCAGGGGCAGAGCCTCTTGCCTAGCACATGTGAGGCCCTGGGTCTGTTCCTCAGCACTGCATAAAAATCAACAAATGAAATGAAGGCATGCTGCCCATCAACAACTACAAAAAACATTAAAATAAATAACCGAAAGCAAAGGGCTGTGTTGGGGCTCAGTGGTAGAGCGCTTGCCTAGCACGTGTGAGGCCCTGGGTTCCATCCTCAGCACCACAGAAAAATAAATAAAACAATAAAGGTGTTGTGTCCATCTACAACTAAAAAAGAATAGTGAAGGCCTTGGAACCCAGATGACTGACTGCTGCTGTCCGGTCTGAGGCGTCCTGGGGGTCTGCGTGGCCCTCGGTGCACTCTGCAGTGGGAGACACGGAGAAGGGACCCGGGCAGGGAGCAGCTCAGAGCCCGAGTCGGTCTCAGGAGAGAACAGGGCTGTTGAGGGTCGATGGCAGCTGTCTCCCTGGCATCTGCATTAGGGATTACGTGTCATCTAGAGATGGCTTGGAGTATCCGGGAGCACGGCAGAGGTCACCAGCCAATTCTGTGCCCTGTTACATAAGAGACTCAGTGAGTGTCTGCGGGTGGGGGTGTCTGCAGACGGTCCTGGAGCCAGTCTCCCCCGGATACCTGGCGAGGACGATACGCCCTGTTTTTAGCCACCACCCTAGGACGTGCATATTCTCTCTGGGCCTCAGTTGCCCTGTCTGTAAAATGGGCACTAACGGCACCACCTCACAGGGCCACGAGGTGGGGGAAGAGCTGTGTGAAGCCTTCAGCACCATGTCTGGCAGGTGGTGGTGAAGGTGTGAGGCCTCAATCAGCCGCCTGGGGATACCCAGCAGGTCTCTTAGCCTTCCTGAGCTCAGCTCCCCACCCATGGATTGGGGGTGATCCCTCAAACCTCAGCGGCCCTGGTTTTCCCGGCACAGTGAGCGTCCCTGGAGGGGTGATCTGCCCCCCCCCGGCCCCCACCTGCCAAGCTCCACACTGCGGCCCTGGCCCTTTTCTTAGCACCAGGAGACATTTCTTTGCGGGTGAGAAACTGGTAAAACCCCCATTCTGAGCCACACTGCCTAAGGCCAGTCTGGCTGCCAACACCTACCCCGGTGGGACCCTGTGGAGTGGTTTCCCTTTTCTGAGCCTCAGTTTCCTCATCTGAAAAATAGGGTTCACATTAACTCCTGCCCTGTGCAATGGTCCAGAGCCCCAGGAGGCCGGGCGAAGCACAGAGATGGTGTTTGCACCCTGGTAGGTTCGCAGTGTTGGCTCATTGTTGTGACCAGGGATTGAACCCAGGGGCGCTTGACCACTGAGCCTTGTCCCCAGCCCTTTTTTTAATATTTTATTTAGAGACAGGGTCTCACTGAGTTGCTCAGAGCCTTGGTAAATTGCTGAGGCTGGCCTTGAACTCACGATCCTCCTGCCTCAGCCTCCCCAACTGCTGAGATTGTAGGCATGAACCCCCCCACCCCACCCCACGCCTGGGCTCGGCTTATGATTTTTCCGGGGTGCCATGTTGTGGGTTTGGGTGATCATTCCTTTTCTCCTGCTCCGTGTTGCTAATAGAAACTGTCTCTATGTCCACAGGTGGTCTTTGTAGGCATGATGTCCAGCTCCACGCTCTGGGGAAACATCTCAGACCAGTACGGCAGGAAAACAGTAAGGCCACCTCTTCTCTGCCAGTGTCCTCCGCAGGGGCAGTGGGTGACTTTGGCGGGTAGCTGTGAGGGGACCCAGCGCTAGGGCCACTGTGAGGTCCCACGTGGCTGGGGGGCCTGCTTGTGTCCCGAGTGGGCGGCCCCCCGCCAGCTCTTGCAGTTTTATTGCCTGTTACCTTCCCGGCTTAGGACTGTCCCCTGGGTTTTTTCCGTGGCTCTTATTTTTGTTACACTGCGTTTGGGTCTTTGATTCTGCCGGCATGCGAAGCTGCTGTCCTCCTGACCATGAACTTGGCTCAGGGGAGTAAGGAGCTCCGTAAAGGCACCACTGTGAGAGCACACGCTCCAGATGATACTCCCTGATGGCCTTGTTGTTCTCTTTCTTGGTCCGTCTCTAACACCTTGCAGTTCCTCCAGAGGCAGGGTAGCCTAGTGATTATTTGCTGAGTGTCATGTGGACCTGGCTTCCCACCTCACTTTTCTGCTTCTGACTGTGTGACCTTGTGCAAGTGAATTGACCTCTCTGAGCATCAACCTCCTCATCTATATAAAGAAGACTATAACTGAACCTGTACCGTCTCCAGTGCAATGTGGAGCGATAGCGTGAATCCCTCTGTACAAGGACAGGCACCGCAGACCCGTGCAAGGGCAACTGTTCCCAGGCCATGCTGCTGCTGCTGGTCCGGGGACCACTCTTTGAGAACCTCTGGCTTAGGCTTATAAATATGAACTCCTGGGCTGGGCATGGGTCAGGTACCTAAGCAAACGTGGAATTCTGTTAGGAAAGGGGGACATGGTGGGTAGGTGATGGGAAACTGCCACTGTAACTAACCCGTCACGGCCTTGTGTCGCCGGCACCAGGCCACGCATGCTTCCTGCGTCAGCTCATCCAGTCACGGAGCTGGTGCTTACGTGGGGTCCCTCACCCCAGACTCCAAAGTCTGGAAATACGGGATGTTTGTGTGCTGGCCTGGCTGTCCAAACATTTAGGACTTTGGAGCAATTTGGATTTGTGAATCAGGAGATCCTCAGCTGATAGAATCTATGCAAATATTCCAAAATCTGAAAAAAAGAAAAGAAAGGAATCTGGAACACTTCTGTTCCCAGGTGTGTGGGACAGGGACACTCAACCTGTTGACCACTCTGGCTTTACTGAAGGGGAAACTGAGGCACAGAGGACGGGCACCTTGCCCAAAGCCACACGGTCATGTCACAGAGGTGGACCTTGTGGTCTTAACTGTGACGTTGGGGGCTTAAATCACCAGGTGCTCAATGCATTTGTGTGGACCCAGTGAATGAGCAGATGTTGGGCCATACGCTGTGCGAGCAGTAGGCTCCAGCTGTATCCCCTCGACCTGGGCGGGAAACCCTGGGCCGGCAGACACCAGGGAGACGGCCACCTCCAACTGCCAGAAGTGGCCATGGCGGGGCCAGGTGCACAGGCTGGGAGGTGGCCATCATGCCAGAGGACCTGGGTTGGTTCCAGGGCTGTGGGGGTGGCCAGCAAGGCCTCTCGAGGCTGCCTGTCCCTTGCCGGCCGGGAGGGATGCCCTGGTCTCAGCCCTCTGGCTCTCCCCGCCCTTGCCCCACTTCCCAAGGGTGTGAGTGACAGCTGCACCCTTCTTCTGGTTGGAGGGAGGAGGGGAGCGAGCACCCCCTAACCCAAGAAACAAGACAGGAGAAGAGAGCATGGCGGGACCAGGCGGGGGCCTCTCAGAAAACTTGAGCCTGGATTTCACTGAATCCCGTGGACGTGGGCCCCGTCTGGACCAGCGGGGAGCACTTGCCGATGTCTGCAGACATTTTTAATTGTCACAGGTAGGGGGAGGGCCACTACTGGCATCCAGTGGGCAAAAAAACAGGGGTTCTGCCCAGTACCCCACAGTACAGAGGACCCCCACATCACAGAGGATGCCCCAGGGCAGGATGTTCCTGTGCCGAAGTTGAGCCAAGGTGCAGTATCGTGAAGAGTTAGCTCTTCATTCTCGGTCTCTGTCTTCTGGCCTGCTCAGCCCTCACCCCAAGACTTACCTATGTGGCTCCTTTTGACAAGTGAACTAATAGCCTGTTGCTATAAAAAGCATGGCCTTGAGCCAGACTGCTTGGGTTCCTATTTCAGCTAGACTGTGTGACCCTGGGCAAGTCACCCAACCTCTCTGTGCCTCCATCCTCATCTGTAAGTCGTATATTAACACCCTCTCGTGTAGGGCGGTTGCAAGGAGTAAACGGCACTGCATATAAAGCTCTGGACACAGAGAAGTAGTTTCATTCATGTCCACCGTTATTCTGTTGTTTGCCAAGTTCCTCGTGCCCATTGATGGCAAAGCACTCGAAACACAGGTCTATTCTGCTTCCAGAATCCACGTCTTTCACCCCAACTTTGGCTGCCCCCAGACAGAATTGAATTATCCCCCAGAATTTGGCGGATCAGCTGGACGTTCATTCATCCCAAATAGATGAGGCTTGGAAGAGCTGCCCCCAGGTGTCCCCCCAGTTCTCCTGACCAGCTGGCTAGATTCCACACCCACTGTGTGGCCAGAGGGAGAGGAGGACAGTGTCCCCAGATGGCAGGGCCCCCTGCTCCGCAGCTCTGGATGCTACGCATCGTCGGGGAGCCAGGAGCAGGCTGTAACTAGAAAACGCTTCCCCAGGACTGTTCCAGGAACACGGGGCAGGCCGGGCAGCTGGCCAGCGTGGCCACCAGAGGCTGTCCTGATCTGCCTCTGCCCAGCGGGGAGGTTCCCGCCAGGTGTCCACTTGGTGACTTTGCCGGGCAGTCACATTGGGGCTTGGACTCCCAGAGCCGGTTTGGTTCCTGCAGAAGCTTCCGCGGTCTGGGGATCTGTGGCGGCCACGGAATAGTGAAGGTGACCGTGACGCTGGGCGTGTGGCCTTGCGGTCAGTGAGGTAAGCCCATTAGGGGTCACGTCCCAGGGCCCGCGTTGAGCTAGATGTTTTAGTTAGCTTTTTGTCGCCGGGACCAAAATTGCTGGCAGTAACGACTTCTTGGAGGAGGAAAGTCCGTTTGGCTCAGGGTTTCGGAGGTCTCCGTCCGCGGTGGGCCGACTCCACTGCTCTGGGTCTGAGGGGGCAGCGTCATGGGGGAGGGCCAGTGGGGGACAGCTGCTCAGCTCAGGGTGCCCCACCTGCTTGCAACTACCACCCAGGCAGTCTTTCAAGCTGAGTGGACGGCTGGGGTCAGAGCTCTCCCCATCCGGTCATTTCACCTTTGAACATTCCTGCATTAGCAAAAGCTCTGGGTGGACACCCCATCACTGTGACCTTGGGCACGTTTGCATCTCTCCTCTGGACTGGTTTCCTCATCTGCAAAACAGAGTTGACGGCGTTGCATGGAGGTCGTTGGGAGGACTCTACAGAAATGCTCTGAATATCCTTAGATGTCTGCTGGGGCCCCAGATGGCCACTTACTGTTTGGGGTCCAAAGGGCTGTGCTCCTCTCCCTTGAGATTGATTGCACGGTGCAGGCTGGGCCCGGGCACCACCAGGCTGTCTAGACCACAGGTCACTGACTGGTGACCCATGGGCCCAGCATGGCTCCCTGACGTGTGTCCTAGGACTTGGCTTTGCGCCTTGAGCATGCTATATACATTCTTCCTCTGAGCCCTAGCTCCAGCCCTCTTTTCTTTGTCTCTCACAGTGTTTTAGAAGATTTTGAGTAAGTTGCCTCCATTTCAAAAACATTTTATTTTGCATAAAACAAACAGCATATATATATATTTTTTTAAATTGGGTTATCTCATAGCCTGAGACCAGCATTCTGTCATGGTAACTGTGGGGGAGGAGCGGAGTAGAGCCTGAGTCGGGGTAACTCGCCTCCCACTTCCCTAGGCCACCCCTGGCCTCCGTCTGTCACACCTGCATGTTGCCTTTGTGTTCTTGGTCAGCGGTAATAGGGAGCCACACAAGGTCCTGGAGGGGGGGAGTGGCCATCCAAGGCCATCCAAGAAGGGGGAGTGGCTGGTTCAGACTGCATTCTGGGCTGGAAATCCTGGCTCCAGGTCCTGCTGTGCAGCTTGCTGATTTTGAGCAAATCACTCGACTCTTTCAGCCCTTGCTGTGCTAATGTGAAAAGCAGAAATGAAAATAATCTCTTTCCACAGGGGTGCTCTGAGGACCCAGGACAAGGATGTGACTGTGGTTTAAAAATGCAAATGAAAGTTCCGTGAAGTTGGAGGCTCTGCAGCTTTCAAGTTCCCTACGTAATAGGGACACAGATGCCCCACACAGCATCTTGCCTGGGTGAATGATGAATGAGATGTATATATATAAATAAATACCTCTAGTGCCAAGCACACAGCAGGTGCTCAATACATGCATACTGAACAAATGAATGAACTAATAATATATATCAGTCCCTCTAGTGCTGGGCACACAGCAAGTGTTCAGTATCTGTTTATTGAATAAATGAAGGGATACATTAATGAATATTTATTCACTAACATGAATGAATGAATATTATGAATCTTCATCAGTGGCATGCAACCGGTGCTCAAGAGATACATATTGAATGGATAATTCAGTGAGCAAATTCATGAACGAATCATGTTGTATAGCTGCCTCTACAACCTGGGATACAGGGGCTGCCCCAGACAGGTTCTTGGGAGCTGAGGATGGGAGAGGGCTTGCCTGGCCCTGCGAGGCCCTGGAGTCCAGCCCCAGGAACACCAAAGTAAATGAATAAATAGAAGGAAAAATAGAAATAGTGTGCATATGGAAGAAAGGCAGGGAGAGGGGCCATCAATGGTAAAGGTCAGATGAGAGTCCAGCAGCATGATAATTGTCATCAAGCAGAACGGCCCCTGGCACATTCCTACAGTGGCAGAGAAACTCTGTGACTGTACTTGCCCGCGGCCGCCGTGTCCCCGTTGTCTGGGCAGCTAGAGAGCCCAGGCATCAGCAGAGCTGAGGGCAGGCCCACGGAGCGGACCCGTCTCTGCGCAGCCTGAGGGCCTTCGAGGGGACCGAGCACCCTCCACACAC